AGGAGAGGTCTGCCACGCCATGTGGTCACCTCCGGGGCAGGCGGGGATCGAACTCATGAGGAAGTGGCTTTAGCTTCTCAGTGCAGTGCTTCAACTCGCTGCGCCAACAGGGAGGGCCAATTTTGAGATTTTTTTTTTAAAGATTTATTTATGCATGCAGAACTGGGGTACAGGGCAGAGGTGCAGGGGCTGTAAGAGAATTCACCAGAGACAGAGTGGGGAGCAGAACAGGCAGATGGAGGAAGTACACTGCTGATGGGAGCAGTGGGCTGGTAGGGAGAAGTCTGCCGCGTCATGTGGGTCATCTACAGGGCCGGGGATCGAACTCATGCTGCAGGGGCTTTAGCTTCTCAGTGCTGCACCACCTGGGAGGGCCCGAGAGGCCTTCTTAAGACAAGCCGTTGCCTCTGCCCCAGCACGCAGGTCTGCACTCGCTGCAGGTCTGCACTCCCTGCCCCCGGCCACCCAGGCTCTCCTTGAGTTGGAACATGTGGCTCCCTGGTTTCTCCCACAGCCTGCATCTGCACTAGGGTTTGTTTGAGGTCCTATTTGGTTATTGTTAAAAGTGGCAGCCATGCTCAGAAAGGTCAGCGTGAGAAACCAGAACAAAGAGATCTTTCAAGCTGGCGCCTCACGGGGTTTCGGAAAAACCCCAGCTCCACCTGGCACAAGCCACCTGGCACAAGCCACCTGGCACAAGCCACCTGGCACGGGGCAGGATTGCTGGGGCAGAGGGCCAATGGGGGAGCCCGTAAGAGGTCCTGTCTGTGTTTCCATGTCCCGGAGGGGTAAACTGAGGCAGAGGTCTGTTCCCAACCCCTCAGGAAGGGCTGGGGCCAGCTCGGAGCCCGAATCTCTTCCTGTCCAACCCTGGCCACTGGAGCCTCTGTTGGTTTTTCTCTTCACATGCATCCAATAAAAATTGGAATTTACCAAAGAGGCCTGAGGGTGATTTATTTGCTTTGCTAAAGAAGTCCTCAAAGCTTATTTAAATACCAAAATCCCTCTGGATTTGAAAATAGTAAAAATACACAATGTTGGGGATATAGGGTCTTGTTAAAGTGCAGCTCTTGATTCCTTTATTGTTGTATGCATGTGCTGGGGAAGGCAGGGGGCTTGGGAGAAACTTCCGAGTCTGCATTTTTCCCAAGCCCCTGGGCAGTGCAGTGCTGCTGCCCCAGAGCATTCTCTCAGCCTCAATGATAGGAAGACCAAAGGCCGAGGGAGGACAGTCTGCAGCAGATTGGGACGATGGGCCACAGTCCCTCTTGACTGTGGCCTCCTGGTACCGCCTAGCCCAGGCTGCCAGGGAGGAGGCTGGCAGGTAGCCCACACAGTGGAAAATCACCCACAGGTCCCGGGAGCCACCAGCCTCCTGTGAGCCGGAGGCCTCGGGGGGAGCCCCAGCCCAGTCCAGCCTGTGGTCATTGGGCCAGGGCACCGGGGCTCTCCTGTAGACTCAGTTCCCAGTGCCAGCCATTCCCGTCTTTTCTGGTAGCTCATGCCGTCTGTCGTTTTTCTCTCTGCTAGTGATGCTGGTGCCAGTTCTCCCTCAGCTGGCCTGGCCGATGGCCTGCTGTCCAGCTGGGGGTTCTTTCCTAAGCCCGAGGACTCGGTGGAATGGAAGGTTCCCCTGTGGCAGGCTCTTCCTGCTCAGCCCAGCCTCCTCCTGGGTATAGCAGGCCTAACGGGGAGTCCCGTTCCCTGTGAGGCGGGCACTAGTGGAGAAAGATAGACACAGCTGAAGGAGCCCCTTGGGTATGTTTGTCCTCTCTCCCTACTCATAGCCCCTGAACGCCCAAGCAGAGCAATGTGGCCAATCAAAACATTAGCAATAAGGTCTCTAGGACTCAGATTAGAAGAGGAAAGGAAAATGACTAATATCTAGTGACCCTCTCGCACATGGCTGGGTGTGTCCGGGACTTTGTAGTCTCATCTTCCTGACAGGCGCAAATGAGGAATCCTGCAGACAGGGAGACTGGGACTCGGTGATGCTGCTTCGCTTTCCCAACATTACAGATCTAGGATCTGATTGCAAGCTAGAGTTTCCTTGTCAGGTTCCAGGAGAACCGGACATCTTAGCATAGGGGAACTAACACACTGGGGATCATCTACACTGCTGGTTCTCAAACTTTGTGACAATCAGGACCTTTAGGAGACTTGATAAATCCAGTTTGCTGGGGCCCCCAACTCCGATGCAGCAGGTGTGGCGTGGGGCCCTGCAAGTTCACTCTTCTAATGAGTTGCCAGGGTGCAGATGCTACTGAGCCAAGGACCACAGCTGTGTCTAAACCATGGTTTCTCAAGGTGTGAGGCCAAGCACTCAAGATGACTTTAATTTTTTTTTTTTTTAGTTAATGTAATAGTTTATTTTTACATCATTTTGTGCATTTTTCCATCTCAGTTGTAATCCCTATGGGCTTCCCATCACCAGATAACCTGTGTGCCATCACCATAGTCCAGTGAACTTCCCTCCACCCCACTGTTTTTGATCCCATTCCCCACTCCACCCCTGCAAAATATCTCTGGTATATAGTTGTTCATTATTATTATTATTGTTATTTTCTCCCCTGATCCTTTATATTCCTGCTATGAGTGAAATCATCTGGTATTTTTCCTTTTCTTTCTGGCTTATTTCACTAAGCATGATCTTTCCCAGCTCCATCCATGTTGCTGCAAAAGGCATGTGTTATTTATTTATTTTTGGTTGCTGAGTAATATTCCATTGTGTATATGTACCACATCTTTTTTATCCAGTCATCCACTTTTGGGCATTTGGGCTGTTTCTATGTCTTTCCAATTGTAAATAAAGCAGCAATAAACATGGGGGTGCAGGTATCTTTTTCAATCAGTGTTTTTGTGTCTTTTGGGTAGATACCTAGGAGGGGGATTGCTGGGTCATAGGGAAGCTCCATGTTTAGCAGTTTGAGGAACCTCCAAACAGTTTTCCATAGTGGTTGTACTAGTTTGCATTCCCACCAGCAGTGCAGGAGAGTTCGGCTTTAAGTTTTTTAAAGTACTCCTAGAATGTCTATTGACAAAGAAAAAATCAGACCACCACACTCATGCTTTTTGGTATTAAGGTGAGGTCTCTGCTAGAGTAAAAAGAAGGACAATATAAAGAAAGTATTACATACCTAACAATACTGGTGGTGCACAGCTAAGAGCAAAAATAGTAAATGTGGTCACAGATGACACAGTCTTGGAGACATGGACACAAACTGAAGTCATGATTTTATAGAGGGGCAAACTGTGGTTGACCCAACAAATTTAGAGATGAGAGATCACAGAGGTGAAAAGTTAAAGGCGCAGCCACTGCTTGAGCCCCTCCTGGAAGTTTCAGACAATAAACAGATCCCCTGGGGACTCTGAGTCCAGCACGTCAGGACCCCGAGGTTAGGCCATGGACTGTCTTCTGTGAGCTCGGGGGTGCTGCCAAAAGAGTCAGCCTGGGGAGGTGCAGGGTGACTCCTCCATGTCCTCTAGACTTCCAGGCTAGTGGGAGCAGTTTCCAAGCTGGGTAGTAGGGTCTACCTAGTGGGCTGCAGCCGGCATTTTAAGAGAGGAGATGGGAGAGATTTAAATACAAACTTTCAGAACGAGCTGCACAGAATAGAAATAGGCAGTGGGTTAGTACACTCACTTCAATTTTAGGACAGGAAAGTATGTGTAGATACTGGTTTGCAATGCCAAATGTATTTCTTACCATAAGTTCCACTTATTAAAAAAGGGTTTATTTACGCATACAAGACTGGGGCACAGGCCAGAGGTGCAGGGTGGTGAGAGGCTTCACCAGAGACAGTGGGGAGCAAAGTACACTGCTGAGGGGAGCAGTAGGCGAGACAGGAGAAATCTGCCATGTCATGTGGATCACTTCCGGAGCTGGGGCCGGGGATTGAACTTGCACTAAAGCAGCTGCAGCTAGCTTGCAGTGCTGCATCCTAACCTATGGCACCACCAGGGAGTGCCCATGAGTTCCACTTTTAAAAGCTGAATGGAGAGGGTAAGACTGGCTGGTGGGGTCTAGGGACAGAGGGGTGAGGGTTATGACATTGACCAGATGGGACAGGTGATGATGGAGACTTGAGGCCGACCAAGTCAAAAGTCTGACACCAGCCCAAGACTCTTGGACGAAGACAGCATCTTGTTTGAACTACTGAATTGTGATTCCCTTCTGGTGGTAAGCTCAAGTTTCCAGTGGGCTGTGGATAATTTCCTGAGCTTCAATAACTGACCCCAGTTATTGAATGTTTCCCAATAAAACCAGACAGACTCCTCCGGTATCTGCAGGTTGGTGAGACTCCTTTGTGGGAATGAGGCTGCTCATGGCTCTTGTTGTCTCTCCACAGGAACGTGGTAAAAGGCATGAGGGAGCTCCGAGAGGTCCTGCGGACTGTGGAGACCAAAGCAACTCAGAACTTCAAAGTGGTAATGTAGACGGGGGCCCCCGTGGCTGGTTGACTCATTCAGGGTAGATTTAGGCAGGAGATAACAGACCGCCTGGTGGGCAGCCCCTGCAAGTGGATGAACAGGGCAGAGGCTGCTGAAGATGGTGGGTCAAGTCTGTCCTGGGACTTGACAGTGCAAACTGTGGTTGGTCATTCGGAAAGGACTCTAGTGACGGCAGAGAGGCAAGAGGCAGGCGTGGGAACTGTGTCAGCATCCCTCCCTGCTAAGCTAGCGAGGCACCGCAGCAGCCTTCATGTCCTGTCCTCACAGATCACAGTTGAAACCCACTGCCAACTTTCCTACCACGGTGGTGGTGTGCTCATTCTTTGAGATTTGCTTATAAGTTCTTTCTTTTTTTTTTTTTTTTTTTAAAGATTTCTTTATTTATGCTTAGAGAACTGCAGTACAGGCCAGAGGTTTGGTGGGTGAGAGGCTTCACCAGGGACAGAGTGGGGAGCAGAACAGGCAGACTGATGAAGTACACTGCTGAGGGGAGCAGCGGGCGGGTCGGGAGAGGTCTGCCACGCCATGTGGGTCAGCTCCCTGGCGGGGAATCGAACTCTCACTGAAGCAGCTTCAGAGAGCTTCATAATGTGGTGCTTTAACTCGTTGCACCACCAGGGAGAGCCTGATTTGTTTATAACTTTTATCAGTAACCTTGACTAGCTTTCCCACCCCAGTGCAGGCCTGCCTTCGGCTGTAATTCACCTGAAATCAGAGCAATAAATATATCTCACTCTAGAATTTTCAGTCAAAATTGAGACTGAAAATTCTATCTGGTAGAGAGAGCTGCCTGTGCCTGTGGCTTTGGGCTCCGTGAGGGCTTCCCAGTACTCAGAACTGTGCTGCACTCCTCCAGGCTGGAGGAGAAAGAAGCACTTCTTGTGCAGGCGAGGAGGGAGGATAAAGGACGAGAAGGAGCTCTGAGGGGGAGTGGGTTGGCCTCCGTGCTGGAGACACAGAGAAGTGAGGGGCTCCCTGGAGGGACAGCACATTGCAAGGTGGGCAGAGTTGACCTGGTGGTGGGTGGTGGTCAGCGGAGAGCATTCTAGGCCCGTTGGCAGAGCAGAATGTGCCTGGCTCTGAGATTCCCCCCTCCCTGCCAGATGGCCGCCAAGCACCTGGCGGGGGTCCTGCTGCATTCTCTGAGTGAGGAGTGCTACTGGAGCCCCCTGTCGCACCCCCTGCCGGAGTTCATGAGCAAGGAGGAGAATTCCTTCATCTTGCAGGCCCTGCGGAAACCCCACCTCTACGAAGGAGACAAGTAAGCTTTGCCTGCTCTGCTGGGCGGTGCTCCCACGGGGAGCCCCTGTCTGCCCCACCCTTCATCCGCCGCTCAGCCCGCTGCCATGCAGACTCTTCAGGAGCCCCGTGGACAGGAGGAGGCAGATGTCTGGTGGGGGTTGGAGAACATGCCTGTCAGTCACCCAGAGGCCAGCATACTCTTGGGGGGTTACCTGCCTTCTTAATAGTCTTTATTAATAGAACTCTTTCGCTGGTGGCAATAATTGGGCTCTGATCAGCGGGACAGAACTTTCTTGCTCCGCCCGGGCCCTGGCTCCAAGCTCCTTCATGTCGAGCTGGGGGCTGGAGGGACCATCTCTTCCCGTCGAGTATCTGCAGTGTTCTGGCCCCACTTCCCACCGCAGCTGTTCAGATCCTTACTCGGGGCATGTAGAGAACCACAGGTGGTATCCAGTGATGCCTGTGAATTATGCAGGAGGGTGTCACCTTACCAGGGCCGCTGCTGACTCCAGGGCAGAAGGGCCAGTGTTTAGGGCCAGCTGCTTCGTGCTTGAGCACGCTGCCATTTGTGTCTTTCAGCCTCTACTGCCCAAAGGATAACATCGAGGAAGCCCTTCTGCTGCTCCTCATCAGTGAGTCCATGGTAAGCTTCAGGGCCTTCCTTGCCCCTTGGGGTAGGGCTGTGGACTCAGGTGCTGGCCACAGGGTCTTGTGGTGAGTTCACCACCCAGCAACATGCCACAGCAGATTCTTGGATCTGCTCCCCTTCATGGGGCATGAGGCTCCTCATTAAGCTTGGGTCTGGGTGTGCAATGCTGCCTCTGGGGATCCAGGTCCACCCCCAGATGGGTAAGGACTGAGTTAAGCCCTTACCTACCTCTTCTTGGATTATTTCAGATAAGCAAGCATTATGTTGATCCATGTGAAAAATAAGTTTCATAGGGTTTATTCTAATATGTCCCCATTTTATAGATGAGAAAAGCAAGGCCCAGGACAGGTATGTGTCTGCATCAAAGTCACATGTTAAAAATCCTGCAATCTTGATTCCAGCCACATCCACCTTCTTCAGTAGCCTGGGTCTCTGGATTGTGGTTCTGGTCCTGCTCTTAACTACAGCTCTCATCCTTGGTTTCCTCATGTGTGAAAGGGACCGAGGGAAGTCTGGAGGATCAGGTGAAGCAGGGGTTGGGGAGGGATTTGTAAATAGGAACATGCCTGTCCTTGTGAGAATGTCATCATTTTCCCCCTTATGGCGATCAGGAGTGGGTTATAGCTCCTCAGATGTTTTTCTGTGGTCTCTGCTTAATCTGGGTCCCCCAGGATCACAGGTCTTTCCATGAAGGTTATCTCTGTTCAGGACGAGTAGAGTGCCTGTCTCCCAGACGGTCAGGAAGGAGGGTGGGAGTTGGCCTGGGCCTGGCTTGGGTCACCGGGCAAATCCACATGTCACCGAGTATGTTATTCCTTCACCGTGTGGATCGGCAGTCCGAGGGCAGTGGTGATTATGACTGTTGGGAGGTTGGGGGTGCTCAGTGTGAGTGGAGCATGACAGCGTCCTCCAGAGAGGGCAGGTGTGAGGCCCAGATGCTGCCAGGACACTCCCTTCTCTGTTGTTGGGTGTCAGCAGTAGGCCCAGAAGCTGGGTTTTTGGCCAGCAGAGAGGCTGTCTCTGAGGACAGGGCTGAGCAGGACCCTGGACTGGCTGCCCAGGAAGCTCATGCTGTATGAGAAGCAACCACCTTGGGTTTTGATTCAGTTCTCCCAGGACCGCTGATGATGTGAACAAGTTATTGGGCATTTCCTTGGAGGCCCCTCGAGGCAGGGAAAGAGCCAGGGGTGAAGTCAGAATGCCAAGGTTCTGGTCCTGACTTCCTAGCTGCATGCCTTGGGGAACCTGCTTGAGTGCCCCGGGCTTTGACATCTGTAAGTGAGGACAGCAGTGTGTGAGAACTGTGAGATGCCACTGGCAGAGGGCTCGACAGCTGGCTTCCTTTTCCTTCTCTTAGACTGTGTCCAGAATTAGAGAGGAGAAGCGGGACTAGCAGGAGCGCAGGCCATGTCCCCCAAGCTGGTAGAGGGTCAGGATTGGCTGGCAGGGGAGGCCTCTTGGGCAGCAAGAACCCAGGGTAGCAGCGGAAATGGCCAGGACTGGCCACTGGCCACTCAGCCTCAACTCCTGGGGACCCTTGCACAAGTGGCCAGTAGTTCCCCTTCTGGGGCCCAGTTTTTCCCTGACAGGAGGTGCAGTGCTTTCCTGCATGAGGCCAGTGAAAGATGGATAAGAAGAATTAGCCCCGAGGAGTCTGGTGTGCGGCACACATAAGGGTAGCTGCTGACCCAGGGCTGACAGGCTGGGGGCTGACAGGCCGGGGGCCGACAGGCCGGGGGCCGACAGGCCTGGGGAAGCAGAGAGCTGCTCACAGGCCTCCTTGTAAGGGCCCCTGTTTGCATCATGGACACTTGGCCAAGGACTGGAGGTGCCGTGCTGCAGTGATGCGCCACTCCCTGATGGGAGTGTGGGGGGAGCGTGTTGCTTTGGCCTTCCCTTAGCTGATGCGCTTGGAGGTCTGGGGTGAAGGTCCTTTAGCTTGAGGGACACCGCTGCTGGAAGGATAACCACAGGCCCAAAGCCAGGAGCAGGAAGAGCTGCTAAGCCTTGATCAGGATGAAATGTATGGATTAAACAAGAGCCGGGCAGCGGGGTCGGGGGTGGTGACACAATCCTGCCATTATCCCAAGACTAGTTAGGAGTCTGGTGGTGAGTGGAACATTTAGTACACATTGCACATATTGCTTTAAGGATCAGGGGCGCTCAAGTCTCACTTCATTTTATCTGGAGAATTCCCTAATGAGCCATCTGTGATGGAAGGGAAAGACTGAGGTGGGCTCTGATGGAGCTGGGGAGCAGTATGACTGAGAGGAGACAGCTTGGGAGGGAGGGAGCTGGGGCAGCCTACACAGAGACCGGAAGCCCATCGTGTCCATGGCCCTGACCTCTGAGGCTGCTCTGGCCCCTGGGCTGCAGATGATTTCCTACCCTGTCATCAGGCCCCCGTGGCTTCCTTCCTTCCGTCCCATTTCCACCACCCCGCCCCATTGCCATGGTTACTCACACAGGCTGCCCAGCAAGCACTGAGTGATGCACCTCAGCCCTGCCCCAAAGCCATAGCAACGTGGCAGACTTCTGCTTTTGGCTGTCCTTTGGGGAACCACACTTCCCTCTTGGCACGGGTGCTAAGCCCACCCTAAGGCCCTGACCCCCAGAGACCTCCCCTGCTGCCTGCCTGCTGGGGAGGCCCCATCCCTGGGCTGTGGAGATACTGCCATCAGCCACTCTTTGTCCTGTTCTGACCTGATTCATGCCCACTGCTGGAAATTCATGCCTCCTCCCACCTCTTAAAGGTCAAGGTCTAGGCTGACTGGAGAAACTTTCCACACCAAGCCCACAAATCTTTCAAATGTCACTTGTGCCGCTGTCTGTGGTACAAGTAGTCTAAGGGCAGTCTGTCTGTGAGCCTGTGCTGGAGGCCTGGAGGGGAGCGCGAGGCGTCGGCAGAGGGGGGCGTCAGCCCTGTGCTGGGCAGGTGGAGGGGCCTGGCCTAGGGAGAGAGGTCCGGGACGGCGGCCGAAGGGGTGATGCCTGAGTTACTGAGAGCTGTGGGCCTCAGGGCCGTGGGAAGGATGGGGGCTGCAGGGGACTCTGAGGATGCGGGAGGAGGGGTCCCCAAGCTGGACAGGTGGACAGTCAGGCACAGGAAGGAGTTCAGACTTGCCCCAGGGCAGTCTGGAAACAGAGGTTGGGCACAGGCAGGGGCTACTTCTCAAGGACAGGTCAGCTGGAGGAGCTGAGCCTGTGGGGACCGCTCGAAGCTCGGGTCTCCAGGTCCTGCATGGGCCAGGCCTCTCCCCACCCCCACAGCAAAGCCACCACACAGACTGCCTGCCCGGCCCCCCTCAGGCCCTCTCTCCCACTAGAAGGTTCCACCAGGTCATGCCTTGGAACATCCAGGGTCATTAGTCTCCCTGAGGGCAGGGACTGTCTCCTGTCCTCTCTCTCACTCTGCCACCTCCCACCCCGCCTCCCTCCTCTGCTGCCTGGGTCCTGCCCTGGGTGACCCGCACTGGGGAGCGGCAGGAGGTGGAGACTGGAGGTGGAGGAGTGGGCAGCTACATGCCGGGGACAGAGCAAGTTGTGTGTTCCCACTCGGCTCAGTCAAACACCTCCTGCCAAGCCGCTCCTTAGACTCTCTCTTCCTGTTGGTGCCTGTGTGGGTGGATTTTGCTGGGAAGGAGGGGGATTTCTCTGCATTTTCCCTCTCCACGTTCTCCCTTAACCCTTTGGAGTTGTGTTCCGCCTTTCTAGGGATCTCCTGGCACCCCAGCAGCCCCGGCAACCTCTCTTGGGTCACCCACGTTGCAGGGTCTGTGGGTACCACCCTCCTACTGTGGCTGGTGGGACATCCATCAGGACCCCTGGCCACTGGCCTGCCTCACTGCCTAAAATTCCCCCACGCATGAGTCACTTCCTTGGATCTCAAGGCATTTGGCTCCCAGAAGCCTCTATGGCAACACACTTCAGGCCTACACAGCAGCGCACATTAGAGCCTGCGACTCAGAAGACACTGGGCTTCTCCCTGTCGCCATGACCCCTCGGAAGTCACAGCCCCTGACCTGAAGAAGCGGGGAGAGCGCCCACAGGGAGGCAGCGAGGACATCTTCCGGGAATGCTGTCTGGCTCTCATCTGCGGGACTGGGATTTGGGGACCAGCAGCTCCCTTGTAGTCTGTCAGGAAGACTGGGGTCTTTTTCCTGAGTCCCTGTGTCAGGAAATAGAGGAAGACAAGTCCCAACAAGTGAAAGGGGGTTGAGAGTCCTCTGCAGAGGGAGGGAGGTGCTGGGGAGACCCTTGGCCAGAGACAGAAAGGTTATGTAGCTGGAAGGAATGCTGCGGGTCGGTTGGCGGGACGCGGGTCATGGGAAGGAGGTAGAAGGCGTCCTTATCAAAGGAACGGGGTGGGGGGGGGCACGGACCCGCAGAGGGAGCCGAGTGGGCTCTGAGGGACCATGGCTCCTCTCCTGTGAGGGAAGCCGCAGAGCCACAGCCTACTGGGTAGTTCCACACGTCGTCTGAAGCGATTTCTGAGACTGGCCGTCACATTCCTGGCGGGAGCTGCTCCACAGAACGACTGGCCTGTATCCTTAAAAAAGCCAGTGTCTGGAAAGCCAGAGAAGCTCTGCAGGGCTCTTCCAGGTGTGAGGGCTCTAGGGAGACAGGGGCGGGGGTGCAGGACTGGGAGGAGCAGCGGCCTTCAGTGGGACAGCTGGTAAAACCCTACTGTGAAGTGCTGTTGGATGATCCACCCCCGGCATCACTTTCCCTGAATCTGGCATTCCTGTTGTGGTTAGAAAAAGAATGTTTTCTTGTCGTCAGAGGTGAAGGGTCACCTTGCCTGTAAATGACTCCAATATGGTTTGGCAAAATAATAATTACTATTATTGTTGTGTAGTTCGGAGAGACGTGGCAGATGTGTGCAGTTTACTGTTAGGGAACTATCCTTGCAACCTTCCTGGGGGGTTGAGCGTTTGCAGGATGAAACAGAACGCCCAGAGTTTAAGCCCTCAGAACTGATCCCCGACCCAAACCCGGATTTTTTTCTCTTTGGGTTGGGTTTGAGTGTGGGTGGGAGAAGCAGTGGCTGCCTCTGGGAGTGGGGCCACGTGTGGCCTGAGTCAGTGGTGTCTGAGTCTGCGGGGTGAGGGCCCTGCGGGGACAGAAATCTGCTCATTTTCTGTCCTCTCTCTCCCAAACCATGTGCCCCACAGGCCACTCGGGACGTGGTGCTGAGCCGGGTGCCGGAGCAGGAGGAGGACCGGGCGGTGAGCCTGCAGAATGCCGCGACCATCTACGACCTGCTGAGCATCGCGCTGGGCAGGCGTGGGCAGTTTGTCATGCTCTCTGAGGTATGGCGGCCCGCCCTCCCCTGCCACCGGGGCGGGGGCGCTGAGGAGAGTGGCTGGCGGCTCAGGGGCTCCCTCCACTGTGCCTCCGCCCCCACGCCGATGTGGGGCGAGGCTCTTCGCTGTGACATGGAGGACAGCACAGCGAAGGGCGAGCCTTGACCCCGGGCGGCCGTTGCCCAGGAGCAGCCAGCCTGCTCTGCCATTTATGTCCCTGTGACTCTTCGTCAGCGAAACAGGGATACAAAGCCCACCTCGGGGGGTCGTTGGGAGGAGTGAATGAGTCAACAGATGTACAGCTGGAAACCGTGCCATGCACAGCAATGGCAAATGCCAGCTGTGGTTTGTATTGTTCGTCTCCATTTTGAAAGCACGGTCACCAATCTCATTTCATTTGCTTTGTGCCACCATGTGAGATGGAAGTGGGAACTGAGGGCCAGAGAGGGTAAGAGACTGTCACAAGGTCACACAGCACGCCACTGGAGGAACAGGATACTCCTGGAATTTTCTGATGGGAACTGAGTCCAAAACTCTGAAGGAAGTGGCTTAGCCAGCATTACTTGGGCAGTGATTATCCGGCAAGGAAATGGGGTGGCCTGGGGTGGGAGGACCCCCAGTGGGAAAGTGCTGACCATCTATCTCCTCCTCCCCAGTGCCTGGAGCGAGCCATGAAGTTTGCATTTGGAGAATTTCACCTTTGGTACCAAGTGGCCCTCTCCATGGTGGCTTGTGGGAAGGTAAGGTCCAGGGTATGCAGAGGGTGGGGTGGGGGTTAGCCCCTTCCCCTCGGGGACTCTGCTCTCCTTAGCCCCTCCCAGAAGGGAGTGATGCCAGTGACTGGTTTTGACCTTCAGGGGGGTGACAGACACAGGAGGATCACACACAGAGCCTGGGCTGAATGCGCAGTCACATGTTTGTGACAAGTGTGCCAGTGTGGATGCTTGTCAGTGGAGGGTGTGTACACGTGGGACACCCAGCACGTGAGCAGTGGGCATGACTGCAGGAGACGGGCGTGGACGTAGGCTCCGCCGAGATCTGGAGCTTGTCGAGTTTATCTAGGAGGGAGAGCTGGGGGAGTGGAGCGGCAGTACCCACTGGGTTTGGAGGGTGGGTGAGGCCCGGGGCCCTTTGGCAAGGGCAAGTTCAGGAGGAGCCAGGAGCCAACCTGATCCTGGGTCACCGGGGCTGCATTTGCTCTCCGCCCACTGAGCCCTATTCCCCTGGCTTTTCCTCAGATGAGAATCACACTTACATAAGTTTCTATTTTTAAGCAGTGACATGAAAGGAAAACCTTTCCGGAGCTGGGTGCTGAGGGTGTTGGGGCTGAGGATGCTACGAATGCAGGAAATAAGGTGGCATGAGCTCACAGATCCTTCCAAGAGCTGTAAATACCCAGAGCCCTTTCGTGGGGCTGAGGGAATTCCTCGCCCCCGCCCCCCACAGCCCATCTGTGCCGCTTCCATTTCTAACCCTGCAGCGGTCTCCGGTTTCTGCGAGGGCCCTCCTAGGCTTACCAGTACCTCCTCTTGGATTGGGGGGTGTGCTGCCAGATCCTGACAGGGAGAGGGGAGAAGAGCAGGTGCCGCAGCCTCACAGGTAGGCAGGGGCCTGAGTGTCACCCGGAATACAGCAGATAGCCTACTCGGCCCTCCTTTGTCTCCCCAACCTCTTCCTGCTCCCCACCACACTGGCCACCTCCCAGAGCCTCCTGAAGACACTACACAATGGACTGGCTCTCGGCTCAGTGCAGGGAGTGTTCAGAACCCAGAGGGAGGCTGGAGCTAGAAAATGAGAGAACATCCCAAGGGAAGCAGGATTTGGGTAAATGGGGGAAAGTGGCGGAGGCAGCATTCCAGACAGGAGAAAGGGAGCAGCGTGGATGGGTGTGTGGGTGGGTGGGAACAGGAAGGTGTTGAAAGCCCCAGCCTGCCATGGAGATAGGTACTGGGGGCAGGGGTGCAGCAGGCCTTATGCAGCAGCCTGAGCCAGAGCTCGGGGACCTGGGGCAGCCTCTGGAAACCATCAGGAAACAGAAAGGGCTTCTATCTTCTAATAGCAAACTTGTAGAGAGGATAGGTCCAGGGCCACGACAGCGCTTCTCTCCCGCTTGTTGTGGGTCTTGGGCCCCTTGAAGAAGCTGCAGATAGCCGAGATCTCCCTGCAGAAGAATGCATCACACATGGAAGTTAGCTTTAATTTTGGGGGTGCTCCTGCAGGCACCCCAGGCCCAAGTGTCATGGTAGCCTGGGAGGTATGGCCTTCAGCCTCCTTACTGAGAATCCGGCAGGCTCAGAAGGCCTCCGCACAGCCAGGCATATCTGCATCCAGGGAACTGGAGCCCTGGCCCTGCCGTCACTGACCAGCAGGGGGCACCAGAATGGACTTCTAGACAGGTTGCTGGGTGATTGGTGAGTCCTCATGCATGAGCCCCACAGGCCGAAGACACTAGGTCACAGCCACCCCTGAATGCTGCACAGCAGGCATTGTTCTAGAAGCCTATTCCGCCCCCTGGGGGGGCCCTGCATACCAAACCAGTCTGCCTGGTTGCCCAGGCCACCCTGAAAGAGTTGTCAGAGCTCCATTTCGCCAAGAGCCTAAAGTGGGAATCAAGTTTTACATCTGAGATTGTGACTGAAAGGTCTTCTAGAAGGTGAGGCCCAGTGGATACCACTATATTGGCACCTCAACCTGCAAGAAGATAGGCTGGATTCCACGGAGTGATTTAGGTCATTCCCTCCCTTGGTCTTTGCAGCAATTGCATTGGTTGTGTTGCTAGGAAACCAGTATGAAAAAAAAAAAAAGCCGCACTCTCCACTGTGGAGTCCTCAAATGGCTCCTTAAATAGCAGCGTTCTGTGGTCTGGGTGGGGGTGGCGGGCCGAAGGTCAGGGTTGCAGAAGCCTGTATTTTAAGGATGCAGAGGTGAGTGGACCGAGGAGGAAGGACAGAGCCCCAGGCTTGCTAAAGTGTGGGCAGAGGGCTGTGGGGAGGGGCTCACCAGCAGAGGACTGGCAGTGGCCTTCCCAGCAGAGGGTCTCTGGAGAGGGACATGTTCTGGCAGCTCCCTGGAGACCCTTTTGCTCCAGGCACCTTGTGTGGTCAACCAGCATGGGCCGTCTGCTCACAGCTTACCGTGCTTGGTCTCATACTCTCTTATTTCCTGAGAAAATTGTGGGCATTGGTGGTATTTGTCTTCTCTCCTGTCTACCTGTGAGAGTTGTGACCCAAGGCCTGCAATATGGGGCACAGACCAGGGCCTCAGTGGAGACACTTGGAATTGGCCTGAAGAGCCTGAGCCCAGAGCCTAGGGGAGCTCTGGGCTCCACATCTGGACTGAGAAAAGCTCTTCCTTAGCCAACAGGGAGAGACGGGTGGCTAGAAAGAGGAGAGAGCCAGGAGGTCCTCTGGGTGGACACAGCCCAGAGGGGCCCGGGTGCACAGCACTTATGGGAAAGTTCTGTTGAGTGACTGGAGAGGGTGAGACCAGCTGAGGCAGGGACCCCAGCCCACAGTAGGCCCAATACACAGGGGTACCACAGTAGGCCCAATACACAGGGTGCCTCCCTGGCTGTGACTTGTGGAGGGCCACTGCTGAGCTTCCTGGAGAAACAATGGCCTTAGCCAGAAGGCGCCAGCCCTGGTGTGTGTGTGTGTGTGTGTGTGTGTGTGTGTCTGTGCCTGGGTGTGTGTGTGTGTTCATGGAGACAGAGACAGAGCTTTCCACTTTGGCCACAGTATTCACCACAGAGGCAGAACAGGATAATGATTTTGAGTTTAGAGCCAGACTCTTCAAAGCCCAGCTCAGCCACTTATGAGCAGGGAAGGTCTGAACAAGCTGCTTAACTTCTCTGCGTTTCAGTTTCCTTGTGTGTCAAGTAGGGACACAGCACCTGCTTCATAGGAGAGATGTGGAAATCAAATGACAGATTATAAAGCACTTTGCACAGGGGTCAGCCGACTTTCTGTGAAGGGCCCAAGGGCAGGCGTTTTGCCTTTGCAGACCTCTGTGGTAACTAGCAAGGCCTCTGACTTGACATCACTAAGACAGCATAAACAATGACTAAATTCCAACAAAGCTTTACTTACAAAAGCAGGGGAGGCCCAGGTTTGGCCTGTGGCTGTGTTTTGCTGACCTCTGACTTAGAACAGTGCGTTCTTGTGTCATAGCTAGATGAGGCATTAGTTGCTGTTTTTCCATCACTGGGATTGGTGGTACACCTGCATAGTTCTGGATGTTCGCCTCTTTCCACCGTCACTTGGTCATCCTCAGCGGGGCTCGTCTTGCCATCTCTATGCCTAAGTCCCTGGAGCCTTGGGGGTTCCTCTGCGGGGGAGTGGGGGGGGGTGCCAGCTCAGCTCTGTCCTGTCAAACTTTATCCATCTCCACCCACCCTGCCTTCAGGTCCCCTTGTGAGCTTGGCCTTGCTTGTCACCTATGAGCGGAAGGTGTCGCGCTCCTAAGTTTGAGAGGGCAATTTCTGACCTCCAAAATCCAGGGGTTCACCTTTTCCTGTTGAAGAGCTCCTATCCAGCGCCACCTTAGGTTACCCATTGTCATATCACCTAGGGGCAGGGGCCTCGTCCATGTGAGACCGAGGCCAGGGAGAGATTTGCCTGCCAACCCCTCTTGGGTTTCTTCCCAGCTATGGGAAGAGAGCAGTACAGAGCAAGGGCTGGCTGTGGGGAGCTCCCCCCATCTTAGGCATGAGGTGCCCTAGTCTGTCACAAGCCAGGCCAGCGAATGACGGTGTGACCTGCTCTTTCCACTGCAGTCATCCTATGCTGTGTCACTGCTGCGGGAATGTGTGAAGCTGCGGCCCTCAGACCCTACCGTGCCCCTGATGGCCGCCAAGGTCTGCATCGGGTCACTGCACTGGGTGAGTGAGTTTTGGGGCAGGAGGAGCAGGGTCGGGCCCTGGTGGCATCCTGAGGGTGGATGGTGGCACAAGGGTAAGAGATGGGGGTAGTGCACACCTTACTTTGTGGCGGTGGGGAGGGGGAAGCTCGAGGCAGACAGGCTTGGATCTGGGAGTGGCTAGGGAAGGCTCCTGAGAAAACTCTAGGCTCCGCTTCTGATGGCCGGCTCCTCCACTCAGAAGGAGTGCGATTGTACCTGAGATGTGATTCCAGGGGCCACTGGGGACTGTAAATAGAGGTGCCCCCAACTGCCACAGTGGGGGAAGTGGTAGTACCTAAGAGTCACCTGGGCCTGTCCCAGTGTTAGAGGCCCACAGCGCCTACCGTCTAGCAGATGCCTTTGAGTTTCAGTTCTGAGTGATCAGAGCCAACCAGCCCCCTGCAGAAGGGGAAGGCACCTCTCCTGTCAGCCTTCCCCCTCCGACGGCTCCAGCCCCAGGTCCGTGGCCTCTGCTCACCCGTTCTTACCTGTTCTGAGGAGGCTGCTGACCTCAGATGTGTCCCCCTCAGCAGCCTTCACTTCAGTCACTTGAAGCCCCCAAGCTGGTTCAGCAGCATAGAGTGAGAAGCCCAAAGCCCTGGCCTCACCATGACACCCTCCTTGGCTGCTGCTCAGCTGGGGGGCCTTAAAGGGGATCCTCTGCATGGGTGTCTCCCCACTCCCCAGAGTGCACTTCCTGGCGGACCCAGCTTCCGGAGGTCCACGGGGCCTCCCATGCCAGAGCTGGTCCCTCCTCCCTCTTGAGTGACAGCAGCAGGCAGCACCTCTCCCACCTGTCGGCGCTCAGCTCCCCACTGTCTCTTCAGGTTCATTAGCTCGATTCCTTCCTCTGCCCTCCAGGCCCAGTGTCTCGCAAACAAGGAGCTTCTCCATACACACCCACGTCCCAATTGCCCGACACCCCAGCCCACCTTTGCCACCATGTGCCCAGCATGCTGCAAGGCAGCAGTGTCCAGGCTCTAGGTGTCTACAGCAGGCGCTTCAGAAGCAGCAGCCTCGCCAGCTCCCGCCTTCCCCTCTGCCTCCTGCTCCTCAGGAGTCTTGCCCTCACCCCACCCAGCCGCAGTGGCTGACATTGGTCTGTCTCAGGCTCTTGGCATTTGATGAGGGGGTAAGGGTTTGGCCACCCTCCCCCTAGTGGCCTTGAGTAACTTTACTGTGCTTCCGTTTCCACATTTATAGAATGGGGAAAGAATAAGTCTCTTCCTTGTATGTGGCACAAATGACGTAAAGTATAGAAGGGCTGGACAGGTCAGGGAGCTTCACGGAGGAGGTAGGCCTTGACCAGGACGTGGAAATGGGGACATGCAGCGGCAGGCTCTTCCACCACAGCTCGCTTTCCTCAGCCCATGGCTGCTGGGGGAACCCCTTGCTCTCTAGGCTTTTCAGGGAGACTGCTGGCATCTTACGCCCTGGAGGCAGGGCATTCTCCGAATGTAGGTGGTGTGTGGGTGCCAGCAGAAGAGGAGACACGCAGAGTGAGCACTGCAGCAGAAGGTTCTGGTGTGAGCGGAGGGTGCAAGGGGTGCCGGTGAGTGGAGGACACAGAGGGTGTGAGTGTGCGTGGGGGTGCAGAGAGAAGGGGGTAGTGCAAACTGGATTGAACTTGCTAACCCCTAGGTCACACCCCTGCATGTTTCCAGGCTCCTGAATGGAGCCTCAAGCCCATCTCTGGGTGAAGCCCAAAATACCCACCTCCCCGAGGGTGGGGTACAGAGGGCATCTGTGCACCCACAGGCTGCCAGCGCTGAGGTGGCGGTGGGTCCACCCAGCCAACGGCTGCCCTTGCCAGGAAGCCCTAAATTTAGGTCTTCCCGCCGTGGAGAAGCTGTTTCCCTCAGCAGCATAATTACAGTAATTATGTGCATTCAGATTACATGGTAATAAAATTAGGATCAAATCAGTCCAAATTGAAATCAGATGAGTTAGGAGCAAAGTAATCAATGACAACATAAATAGAAAAGCCCAGAAGGAAACTTAAGCAGGCAGACTTGTCATCAGAATTCAGGAGGAGGATGAGCAGCTTAACCTTAGCTGAGCAGCGTATTTGGGTTCGAGGACTGCCTGAGCCGGGGTTTAAATCAAGTAGGGTCTCGAGTGAGGCCCTGCTGGGAATGGGGGGCGCCGGCAGCCTCACCTGGAGCCTCTGCATCTCCACCCGCCTTGGACACTGAGCATGGCTCGTTAGCGTTCCTGTCGCATGTGCACTTCCTGAGGCAGGACCCACCTCTCTCTGTTCCCCAGCCCAGAGTTAACGCCTGCTGCAGGTTGGATGGGCCCTCCTCGCCCTGAGCACTGCCACTTGGCAACAGTCTGCCTCCTATGGTACTTGTCTTCCCAACTAGATGGGGAGTGTCTGTACTTACCATGTCTTGCACCCCCCCTCCCCCAAAGAACCCTGCCTGTACTTGGGTGCCCACTAATACTGGACTGGAGGACGGCATTCCCCTAGCTGGCTGGGCAGGACGGGTGTGGGCCGGTTGCATCGTCATTGGGTCTCCCTGGCTCCCTAGGTTGGCTCTGGGCAGAGAAGAGGCCGTGCAGAGCCCAGGGCAGCCTCTTTTCCGAGGAGAGGGTGGCCCAGCACGCTGTGTTCTTAGGAAGAGTGGGTCTGACTGTGGCAGGCATGGATGCTGGTGCAGGAGACAGGGCAGGGATCCTTGAAAGGCCTCTGACACCACCCCCATCTCCTGCCTTCACAGCTATTCTGGCTCAGCCCCCAGCAGGCCCAGCCAAAGCCCAGGAGCAGCAATCTGGGGGTGGACAGTTTGGTCCATGTTGCAGGAAGGGAGGCTGAAACTGGGACATTTGAAAAACGAGTTGTGCTAGGTGAAACTAGACTGGGTGGCCATGTGCCCAGAGGCGGGGCACCTGCTGTCCCCACGTCCTGTTAGTGCCCAGAGCCATATGGAACAACTCCCCAGGCTGAGTCTAGGTCTGAGGGCGAGGTGGCCCTCTGGCGGGGTGGTGGGAGGGGGGCCAGGCAGAGGGACCTGTGTGGTCACGCGCTGCTGACCTGGGGCTGGCCACAGGATGGGAGCTGCTGGGGCAGGGATGGGGCTTGCAGGAGAGCACCCAGTCCCTGGGTGTCCAAGCTCTGACTTGAGGACAGCAGTGTGTGACAGCGCCTGCTTGGCATGGACAGTTATTTGGGGCAAAAGGAGAGGGAGATGCAAATATTTTTTAATATCCCTCCAAACACAATTATTTAAAATTCGTTTAACTTTTCTAGAAAGATAGGATGGGAGCAGGCAGGGCGTGCTGTGCAGACAGGAGAGGGAGTTGTAAAATGGAGAAAGCAGGCCATGTTCATCTTTGCAAAGGTTTATGATGCCGTCTCTGGGCTTCTGAGCAGGAAGGGTGCAGACCTCTGGAGGACGGGGGAAGAGTATGGTTCATGTACCCAGCCACTTAGGAGCTGTGTGATTTGGGGGAGTCCTTACCACCTCACGGTAACTCCATCCGTGGGGCCCCCATCCGCTTCGCAGGCAGTGTGAAGCCCGGAGCTGAGGCCTGTCTCTGCTTCGCACACTGCAGCCACCCGGTAGGTGCAGCCGTCCCCAGCACAGCGCCCTCCAAATAGCAGCTCCAGAAAGGATGTACTTTAGTGTTTTGCCATCGGCTTTCAGATCCAGGGGTGGGCAGAGCCAGGAAGATGGATTGAGTGTTCGTGAGGCAGAGGAGAAAGAATGCCAGCTGTCCTGCCACTAGCCTGTGGAAATCAGGAAGAGAACCTGCCTCCCCCAGAAAGAAAAGAGGCATTTCCACCACCCCAGCGGTGGCAGGGCCTGCGTCCTGCAGGGGAGGGACCTCGGAGAAACGGGAGGTGCTCTATAGACAAGCTCTGCGGGCTCACACGTCTGTGTGGCTCCCAGCAAGGGAAGCAGACAAGAAGACTCTGGGGTACAGCCTCCTTGGGGCCCTGGAAAGTGGAGGAGGTGGCCCTTGAAGTGGAAGGCAGCTGAGCATGAGTGGAGTGCGCCAGAGACCTGTCTGTGCAGGAACCAGGTGGGAAAACTGGGCAGAGACAGGAACTTGTCAAATCACAGGGACATTTCCCTTCCTTACCGGAAGCAATACAAAGGGGCAAAGCACTATAGCCCTGGGGGACCCCTTTTCCGAAAAGTCGGGGAGGAGAACACAGAGGGCAGCCTCGACCCAAGCAGCTCAACAAGATCCAGACTTAGAACCGGGGGACCTAGGTTGAACCTAGTTCAGCCACTTGACCAAGCTGGGTGGCCTTGGGTGGGTCCCCTCAGCAGTCTGTGCCTCAGAATCTTGGGCCTTGCAAGGGCCAGCCCAGCTGGGGCCATGGGGCTGCTAGCCAGTGAGACCACATTGCTCTGGAGTGACCAGGGAGGAAGCATGCAGGGCTTCACCTGGGCTTTTAGCAATCAGCCAAAGGTAAAGGAGCTGTGGGTAAAGGAGTTGTGAAAAGCCTTGTATGTTTGGGGGGAGAAGGGGGACAAGAGCTTTGAAACGCTCACCCTGGAAGTATTATGCTGAGTCAGAAAAGCCCAGGGCTGCAACCTGAGCAAATCGTGCAGAACCAGTGGCCACAAACTCTGAGCCACAGGCGATAACTTTTATTTTTTGAAAGATTTATTTATTTGTGCCTACAGAACTGGGGTACAGGCCAGAGGTGCAGGGGCGGTGAGAGGCTTCACCAGAGAGAGTGGGGAGCAGAACAGGCAGATCGACAAAGTGCACTGCTGAGGGGAGCAGCAGATGGGTCAAGAGAGGTCTGCCGCGCCATGTGGTCACCTCTGGGGCAGGTGGGGTTCCAACTCATGCGGAAGTGGCTTTAGCTTCTTGGTGCTGTGCTTTAACTCGCTGCGCCACCAGGGAGGGCCCACACGGGTGGTAACTTTTGAGGGAACAAGGAGGAAGCGGGGTGAGCTGGAGAGGGCACATGAGGTCTGAGGCTGGGAGAAAGGAGGCCAGGGCTGCATGGCGGGCAGGCCCTGCATTTGATGAGAACAGCATTTTCAGATCGCAGGCGGAGGCCCACTCGTGTGTTATACGATAGGATTTCTTATTTTCAATTGAAATTGATCATCAAGGAATAGAATAGAAAATACCCAAGTGGCTTCCCCACTACAGAGGTCAGTACTGAGACAAGGGGTCATCATATTTGTATGCGTATGTGCCCTGGACCATGGGTAAGGGTCCGAGGGCTGCAGGGCCAGCTTGTCCCTGGGCAGGGTCCCTCCTTTGCTGTGATGAAGGCTCAGGCCAGAGACAGAGGGAGCCTAGTGTCCCCTTTCTGAATCCCAGGAGGGTCTTTGATGCCACGTCCTTATTTGTCAGGGAGGTCATGTAGTGTTAGGGGACACGGACTCCCCTCGGGTGGCACCTGTCAGACCTATCAGGCTGAGACCTAAAAGATTAAACTAGTCATGGATCTAACGGTGAGACTAATCATAACCGTGTGTTTATTCAGGCACTGCCCTGAGCTTCGCTGTGTCCTCTCTCCTTCTGGTCTGCCAGCAACTGGTGACTCTATCTCCCGCACGGAAGAGGGACCCGCGGCACAGCAAAGTGAACTGACTTGCCTAAGGCTACACAGCCAGTCACTGGTCAGGCCAGGACTGAGCCCACAAAGTCAGCCCCAGAGTGTGTATGCATAGCCTCTAGGCCGCTCCGCCCTCCGAGCAGAGATTATTCGCAAATGCTGTGCTGACTGAACTTGGAATTACGGGGCAAAAGCCATACTCCCAAAGATTTTAGGATTCCCATTCTTGTATTAGAGGAAGGGAATTAGAATCTGTGTAATTGTCTATATATGTATGCACGGTAACTATGATAACATGCATGTATATCACATATATACATAGGAATTATGATTTACTTATATATATATTACATTTTAAATAAATATAAACGTTGGGTTTGTTTTGAAAACGACAGCCGTTCTCCTCTGGCTGACTGACTAGAGCCCCATGTATATTAATAGTCCATGTTCTCGTATTCTGTGCTGTCATGCTTAATAGAACGGATCATCCTTTTCCTTCGTCACCACCTCATTGACTCCACGTGCACAGAGCTGCTTTGTGGGAGGCGGAGTGAATGCCGTGTTGGCCATGTAAGGAAATGGCACATTGAAGCCTAGTGGGTTTGACTTGAGACACAAATGCTGACACCTGCTTGTCCTGCAGGCACCAGGCTGGCAGAGAGTGACCGAGGAAGGTCCTGGCCTCTGGGAGTCAGTGAGCCACAGGCTGGTCAAGCTGCGGCTCTGGGCCTTCCCTTTCTAAAGCTGAAGGACAGGTGCGCTGTATTCATTAGGAATGTGGCGTCCGAGACCTGGACAGTAACTTCTTGCTGTTTCCCAGTAACTGCTGAGCTGAACCTCGTTCCTGTCATCCTTTCTCCATGGGTACAGGATGTAAAACTGGCATTTGCTGAGCAGAAGGCCGTGGCTGTGGAGAGCGTGTCTGTGGAGTGCCGTGGCTTCTGGTTCTTTTTATAGTTTACATCTGGTGGTCTGCGAGAACACCTGTTCCCGTTCGGGTGGGCTGTAGCGATTCCCGAGGCAGCATGTGAAATGAGCCCCATCAGCAGTGGGGGTGCTAGGCAGGAGGAACAGCGCTTACCCTGTCTTTGGTGTCTCTCTGCTCCCCCCTCACATCTTTGTTATGACGCTTTCTTGGACAGCCCCAGCCACCCCTCTCCTGGAGCCTGGGCCAGAACCACACTTGGGGCCTGAATAAGAGCCACACGGTGTCCTGTGTCCTCCACTGTGTGGGCTCAAGGGGATTCCGGCATGTCACAAGGCTTTCTGCCTCCTTGTCATTGGGCATCCCCCCCCCCAGCCTTGTGCGGAGTATGGTGCTACAGAAGTCTCAGTGGGGAGGGGCAGATTAAGTGGGGTGATCCAGCTCCCCATTTTTCAGAGGACCTTATGGAAACAGAAAGGTGCTAAGCCAGGATTGCAGACTTTGTCTGCAAACTGTTTTCTTAACCTGGCCCCGGCAGTTCTCCTGAGTCCTGGGTCAGGCTGTGGGTGCACCTAGCCAGCCAAGGCTGGGCAGGAAATAGTTGCAGGGTTTCCAGAGCTATGGCCTCCCCCAAACCTTGAGTCCTTGGGCCTGACGATGTCAGAGGCCTGGCTCCCTACACTCTCTCAACCTTTAAGTGGCTACCCACTGCCCGACCTGCCTCCCCAGCTTAGCCACGAGAGGGCTGGAAGGCTGCCCCGGTCAGCGTCTGCCAGGCTGGTCTAAGGGCAGTTGAGCCACTCTCTGGGCTGTCAGCTGGCCTGCTCTGCTCTCATTTATTTGTATTGTTTCCCACTCTGCTCTTCAGCCTTTATCCTGTACGGCACTCACTACAGCTGTCCTAAATGTCAGACTCAGCCCAAATTGCCTCTCCCTCCGATCTCAATTCCACTGTCCAGGGAGTGGAGTCCACTCCAGCTGTGGTCAGTGGTCAGGCCACAAGATGTTAGTTCAGAGTTTCCCAGTCCTGCCGGGTGAGGTGGGCTTAGGCTCCTCTGGAATGGGGCAGGGGCGTGGGTGCCAGAGCCTACCTGACTGACTGTGGGCTTCTGCTGTTGGGGAGATGCCCCTCCCAGGGGGCCTTGACATCCATGTGGCTGTGGGGCTCCGGGCTTTTGTTCGGACCCCTCACTGTGGGGTGGCACCAATCTTTGTTCTCAGTGACGTTTACCAAGCCAGGCATGCTGGCAGAGGATGTTCCTGGGCTGGGCGAGAAGGAGGGGTTCTTGGAGTCCAGCAGGCCATAAGTGGGCACAGCTGAGGCTCCCAGCTGCCCCCAGCTGGTCTGGGTGCTGCCATGTGTGCCCCAGAGGACATGTGAGGCCTGCCTTGTGTGTGCCTCCTTCATGTCACATGCTGCGTGTGTTGATGTGTGTGCATGTGACCTGTACCAATTGGCCCCTTTCCAGCTGGAACAGTTCCTCCTACTCCTGGGACAAAAACAGCCCCAGGCCTTTTTCCCCTGAAAAGTTTGGGTTCTGTGTGTCAGGGTGTGAGCTCAGAGATGAGCCAGAGTGGCAGGCCGCCCTCTGCAGGGTGGGCTGTGTCCGGACGCCAGTGCCCGGGCCTTCCCTGCCCCTGCTTCCTGCTCTCTGCTGAGGGTAGGACAGACACAGCCGCCTCCAGAGGCCAGATGGGGGAAGGAGTTGGCACAAGTGGGATGCTCCTGGGTCCACAGAGCTGGGATCCCCGGAGCACGGGAAGCTACCTCCTGTGACCTTGCACGTCAAACTCCTTGGTGTGGGAAGAGGTCTCGGGAGACACTGGTAAAGGCAACAGTTTTTTCCTTCCTCTCACTAGCTGTATAGCCTCAGAAAAGCCGCTTGACCTCTCTGTTCATGCTGCCTGCATGTGAGAAAATGCTCTTCCGTGTATCCTGGCTGCTAACTGCAAGCAGCCTTGGTGCCAAGACCAGCAAAGCCCTCCCTTCCCCGCAGTGACCTTTGTCTCCCTTTTCTGCAGCTGGAAGAAGCAGAGCAGTTTGCCACGATGGTGATAGATCTCGGGGAGGAAGCTGGGGAATTCCTCTCCAAGGGCTACTTGGCGCTGGGGCTCACCTATAGCCTGCAGGCCACCGACGGTGGGTGCCAAGGCCTCGGGCCTTCTGTTTGGGGTGACTTGGGCGTCCTAACTGCTTCCCAGGTATCTAGCCCCGTCAGCGTCCTCCAAACACACCCCTGACTCCTCCTGGATAGACACACACGTACACACACACACACACACACACACACGCGCGCGCGCTTCTCCGTTCCCTTTCCACTCTCGTACTCTGTCTTCAACCTCAGAGGTGCCCCCTTCACAGCTCTGCCTGCTCCCCAGGGCCCAGCCCAAAGCATGCCTGTCTCTGCACCTCTGCAGGTGGTGCCTGCGTCTGCACTGTGCCCCCAGCCCTGACCCCAGCGTAACTTTTCTTTCTCATTCACCTGCGCCCTCAGCAATGCTGTGATCTTCCCAACACATGGCATAGTGCTGGTCACTCTGTAGATGCCTAATAAATACTCACCTTTGGCAGGTGGATTTCGCCCCTGCCTGCCCGGGCTGGCCCTCCTCTCCCCACCCTCCAGCTGTGCGTCCTCCACCCTTCAGGCAGCCACCTTCTTCTGTGTGTTCACAGTGAGAAAAGGGGGCACGGGCCCTCTCCAGACCAAACCCAGAGGCGCAATCTGACCTGGTCATGGCTGGGGCTGGGTGACAGTCATTTGTTTTAAAGCTTCCTATTTGAAGCTTGAAGTCCTGAAGATGAATCATTTTAAAGTGGTTCAGCCTACAGCCAGTGCCGCAGACACCTGGCCTAGAGCATTTACAGCACGATTCACTCTACCGGAAAGGTGCCTGGTTTGGATTAAAGCAAGAGGCTGTGGGGAGAGCATAACAGAAGTTCTTGGGGGGGGGGGCGGGCATGCTGACGGCACTGGAGAGGATGAAATGTTCTGCAAGAGACAGTGGCTGCACCACACTGAGAATGTGTTTCGTGCCACCAGATCATACCCTGAAAATCTGTTAAAATGGTTGAAAAATAAGCAGATCCTTGTGGCCAGGTCCTAAGTGGCATCCCTCCTTAGGAGGCTTAGGCCTTTGCAAAGATAGAGCTGATTCGGGTGGTCACTAATGCAAAGGAGTAGAAGGCTGTACTGAGCCCAGAAACGGCCCAGGGGGACACCTGCAGCCCTGCCAGGGGGCACCCCAGGTCCCCGCCGCTATAGCAGGAGCTGAGGGTGGCATCAGCTCTGAGCTGCAGCATGTAGGCTTCGGCCGGGGCCCTGGTGGAGCCTCTTGAGCGGGGTTGGGGTGGGGCAGCAGCAGCACCCCTTGGGCCATCCCTCGTGACTCTGCCCTGTCCTATCTCTGCAGCGACGCTGAAGTCCAAGCAGGATGAACTGCACCGGAAAGCACTGCAGACGCTGGAGAGGTGAGGCCCTGGCTCCCACACGGCACAGGCATGAGGGGCCCTTCACGGGCTTTTAGCTCGGTGGGTCCGCTGGTGCAGGAGCTCAGGTTTTTGTCCCGGTTACACTGACCAGGAACCAAGGGCGTCAGTGCCCACGCCGGAAGCGGGGACAGACCTCTGGTGCTGCCCACAGGCAAACAGCGTGGGCCCTGCTTTGGGCTCTGGATTCTGCCCCTCAACTCCGGTGGAATGCCCACATGGGCTCACAGCACCCCAATTCAGCCCCTCCCACAAAGTTCAGGGCTGTAAATGGGAAGGACAGCCCAGGATTCTTGTAATTATTGTGTCATTTATTGTGTTGACGTTTTCAGAGCATATCCTGGCTTTATGCTGGTGAGGCAGGAAGGCAGCTGCACAGGCCCACGGGTGTCAGGGGCTTCTCCCAGACCTCCGACCCCAGTCTTTATGTAGATTCCTCCCAGGTGGAGGACAGGGAGTAGGGCAGGGAAACCCGTCCTTCAGGCCCATCCCTGAGAGGCCCCTCTGTTCGCCACAGATCCAGGCCAGCCTGTCCCGTCCCTCTCTCTCCTCTGCCCCTGGCAAGACTCTGCCCTCAGTCCCACGTGAGCCCGCTGTGGGAGCCCTGCCCTCGGGGGCCTGGCCTGCCCTCTCAGGCTAGCTTCATGAAGACTTAGAGCAATGCAGAGCACAGCCAACCCCTGTCTGGGCTCCCAGGGTGCGAGGACGCTCCCTTCCTTCCCCAGCTCTTCATTCCCGTGGCTTCCTACCCAGAGTCATTCTCTCCCCTCCATCCTCAGAGAGATGCCCCTTCCATGCTCCAGTGAAGAGGGGGGGCCCCAGTGTGGTACCAGGCTAGGACAGTGCTACCTAGACCCCGCCCCCACTCCCTCCCCAACCCCCCCCCCCCCCAGTTCAGCAAGCCTCCGCCTGCCAGAGCCACTGCCCTGCCAGGAGCTGCCCCTGGACCCTCTGCCTGAGCCACCATCTCCCAGCCAGGCACCGTCCCAGGCGTGGCCTGGCAGGAGCCCTGAGGTGTCAGCACACACTGGCTACTCTAGCCTTGGTGCCTAACTTGCTCCTTTCTTTCCCCATCCAGAGCTCTGCAGCTGGCACCTGGAGACCCCCAGGTCATCCTCTATGTCTCCCTGCAGCTGGCCCTCGTCCGCCAGGTGGGTCACCACAGGCTCTCCTGGCACTGCTGTGTGACCCTTTGCTAGTCACTTGACCTCTCTGTGCCTGTTGCCTTTTCTGCTCTGTGAGGGCCTATTTACTCCACCTCAGAGGGCCCTGGTAAGGAGGAAGTCAGACAATGTGGCAAAGCCCCTGGCCCGTGGCCGGCACACAGGAAAGGTTTGTTCTCGCCTCTACTTCCCCAAGAGCATTTCAGCCCCCTGAGGAGGGACGAGTAACCTTGGCAAGCATTTGTTTATGTCCTCACCTTCCACTGAGCTTTCCCAAGGGCGGGGGAGCAGAGTGCCTGGCACGTGGAGCTGTTTCTGTGTGATCCCAAAATTTTTCCCTGACCCGTGGACACTGCAGACAGGATCGGCCTTGGGGCCTAATGGAGACCTCTGTCCACTGATTGCCTTCACGCCAATCCCTTCCACCACCCAACACCTCTCCAAGGCCACCCTCCTGCCTTCCCCAAGCAGAGCAGCTGAGCTCTCGGTTCCAAGGACACTGATGTGCCCCGGGCGTGAGGCCGGGCAGTCGCCCACCCAGGGCTTCTGTCCCAGACCTGTGAGATTTGCCCGCCTCAGCCTCCAGCTGTGCTCTGGTAGTGCCCAGCCTCCAGCAGGGCTCTCAGTGGCTGCGTCACTGACTCAGTGAACACACTGGCTCTCGGGGAGGACTGACGGGCCCGATGCCCATAGCTTGGCTTACCCTGGGCCCTGGGCTTCTGGAGAGAAGCCAGCAGAGCCCTGCTGGTGGTCAGGGACAGCAGCCCTGACTAACATGGGTGCTGCTGAACGTACTCCCCGCTGTCCTGGGTGAGCCTTGCGCCTGATGACGCAGGCACCGTTGGCCCCATTTAATACTGAAACCCGAGGTTCTCGGGAACTCAGCTGTGGGAGCCAGCCAGGCCAGCGTTGAACCCAGGTTCTGCTCCAGCTAGAACCCCAGGTGACTCTAAGTGTCCCGCTCCCCTGCTGCATTTGAAACGGGCTCTTGTAGCCTTGTTTACCACCCAGAGGCTGGTCTCACTGTTCTGTGTCCACCTTGGCCTCTGGCCTTGTCCTTGGCTAGTGTGGGGAGCTGTGATTCTCCTGGCCCACCCTGAATTTTTGCTGCTGATGGCTCCTTCCCCTCGAGCCCTGCACTGGCCTGCCCTGCACCGGCTGCAGGGACCTGTCCCTCTCTTGGGTCTGTGTCACTCTGTCTCCCTCTCCTGGCCCTCTGTCTCAGCCATTGCTCCTCAGCCACTGTCGGTGGCTTTGTTGTTGCTGCTGGTTGCCCTCCTCCTGCCACCTCCTTCCTCCTCTGTCTCCTGGTGTCCCGCCCATCCCAGCCCCCGCCTCACTGAGCCTGTGGCTCCTGGGTGAGGCCCTGGGTGAGGCCCTGGGTGAGGCCCTGGGACCTCACTGGTGCTCCGTCAGGAACATCAGCCTGCTCTGGTGCTCAAGACCACTTCACTTTTAACCCATGCTTTCCTTGACGATCAGGTTATTTAGCATTTTTCACCATGTAGCCATCTTTGATGAGTGGTGTCTGTCCTTCCAGGGAGATGGCTGGGTCATGCCAGTGGAACCTGAAGCCCACTTTCCTTGGGGACCCTGCATCTGGAGTGAGGGCCCCTCAGTGGGCTGGGCCTGCCCTGGGCTGTCAAGGACCCTCCGCCATCCTGCCCAGAGCAGGAATGTCTGCCCGAGCTGTGACTGTGGGCACCGGGCATTCAGGGGCCATCCCTGGAGAATCACTAGGGCCGGAGCAGCCTCAGAGACACAGACAAGCTGAACAAGTGACCTTAGCTTCCTCCTTCACTTTCCTTGACTGTCCATCAAGAAAGTTCCTGTGGGGGTGCTCTGGCCTGGCACCAGTGCCCACAGCCTGTGCAGAGGCCCGGCAGGACTCTGCTGACCTGCCAGTATGGGGCCAGTACCTGCGGTTTTGGTCGAGCTGCCAGCCCCTTCACCTCCCCTCCCCACGGAGGGCAGTGCCCGTCCCTCTGGGCGGGACCAGTGCCAAGTACCCCAGCCTCAGGAAAGCCTGTGCACACAGTCCTGGGCAGCCTCTCCTCAGCACCCTCCCGCCATGTGCCCAGGCCTCCAGGTGTACCACAAACCTGTGCCTCCTCACTCCCTTGTGGCTGCAGCAGTGGCTTCTGGTCGTCATGTGGGCAGCATGTCCTTCTGCCTTTTTATTTGGGGCTGTGGTTTCTCTTCAGAGCCTCAGCTCAGGCCCCCCCCTACCCCCCCCCCCAGAGTGCCCAGGGTCCCTCTTGGCCGGTGTGTCTGCAGTGGCTGGCACCTGGCACCAGAGTCCCGGGGGGGAGGTCACAAGCTGGCGGTTTTCTCTGGCAGATCTCCAGCGCCATTGAGCAGCTGCACGAGGCCCTGAGAGTGTGCAGGGATGATGCCAACGCCCTCCACCTGCTGGCGCTCCTCTTCTCTGCCCAGAAACACTACCAGCCCGCCCTGGAAGTCATCAACATGGCCATCACCGAGTATCCCGAGAATTTCAAGTGAGTTCCCTGCTGAGCTGCAGGCCGGCTGGCCACAGGCAGGGTGCACACTCCTCCCTGCCACATAGCCAGCGACACCGATCACGCAGCCACTGCACACAAATCCCTGACCGGAGGGGTCAGCCGGTTGAGGACCCCTAGCATGGTGGCTGGCTCTGGTGAGGAGCCTCTGTGCAGCCCCTGCAGACTCCACGGGGGCTGCATGGGCCACCGAGAAGGTCGAGTACATGCTCAGGCTGCTTCTGCCACTCTGAGCCTCACAGCCGGTCACCAGGGACTGAATCATAGCTGCGGCACAGTCAGTCAGGGGTGGTCAACACCGATGGGCTGACAGTGGTCAAGGGCACCATCCTCCCGCCTCCAAGCGGGCGTACAGCATTCGGAGGGAAGGGGTCTCTCTCCGCCTCCTGGCACCTCCTGTCCACAGCCTCCCTTTGACCTGCCACCAAGACCTTTGGTGTGGGGTTTGTGCTGCACCTGATCCAGGTGGGTGAGGCAGCACCAAACCCTCCTCCCCACCTGTCCACAGAGGATCTGCTACCACCCAGCTCGGACATAGGGAACGAGAGCCAGGCTGGGTCAGCTGAGACAGTGTGTTGCTCTGTGGGAGGGAGCAAGGGGGTGTAGTAGACCTTGAATTGTGCAACCCCTGGATGAGGGGGTCCTGACCGCCCCACGCTGTTCCCCCTAAGGATCTGAAGGAGACCATTTAGAACCAACAGAGGCTGTCCTGCTCAGATAACAAAACAAAGCAAGGGCCTGGTTACCCTGAGAGGTGACTCACGCTGGCAATGTCAACAGGCTCCCAAGGAATTAGGGGAAATTGGGGGGTGCCACACATGATGGGAGATGAAGGGAAGCCACAGTCGTCTTGGCCCACAACCGTTCCCTTCACCTGGAGAGCCTGTGTCTCCGCCTTCCCCATCAGGGACGACACTGACCCCGGGGGAGACGTAGACCTTCCTGGCCCTATGGCCTCCTGCAGAAGACACCGAGGGAGGCATGGCCTACGGGCTTTGCTGTGGATGCCCCCTTCTCCCCAAGGCTCAAGAGATGCCTTGGGAATAGCAGAATGTCCTAATGCCCACTGGGGCTGGTGTGTATCATGCAGGTCAGTCCCGCTTACTCGGATCCAGACTGACCCTCTGGCGCCAGCACCTGACTCTGACCCCATCCACCCGCCTGCCTGGCCCCGTGGTGCCCGCTGCCCACAGCTAGGTGTAAGCAGAGATGGTGTGTTTGGGAGACAGTCCTGACTCAGTGTGGACTCTCCGCTGGAGAGATGATTAAAAGTGAAATCACTTCAAGAAAACACATAAAGCGGTGTGAGATAGGGAATTAATCCTACGTATGTGTTGCTAGTAGTTTGTTCTAATGAAATTGCTCAAAAGATAATGGTTCTCCCCTTCCAGTACCAGTTAATTTTGTTTTTTCCAAACTCCATCTTTGAGCCTGGATCGGGCAGGGCACTGAGCGTCAGAACTGTTGTCTGCTGCCACTGTCAGGAAGGAACTCGGAATCCTAGAGGGGAAAAGGAAACAGCCACTGTCAGGAAGGAACTCGGAATCCTAGAGGGGAGCTGGGGCCCTTTTCCCAGACCTTGGGGCTGTGTGGCACATCAGAGAGTATTTTATCATCCAGTCCTTTTCACAAGTGAAATTTGTTTTTGGTAACATTTATTTATTTGTGCATACAGAACTGGGGTACAGGCCAGAGGCACAGGGGCAGTGAGAGGCTTCACCAGAGTGGGGAGCAGGACAGGCCGATCGACGAAGTGCACTGCAGAGGGGAGCAGCGGGTGGGCCAGGAGAGGTCTGTGGTGCCATGTGGGTCACCTCTGGGGCACGGATGGAACGCATGCTGAAGTGGCTTTAGCTTCTTAGTGCTGTGCTTTAACCCGCTGCGCCACCAGTGAAATCTTACATGAGAATTGAGAACATGAACACACCGGAGCAGAGCTATCCTGCTGGAAGGAAGGGGGCTTGCACACTGCCCCTCACTCTCCTCGATGACTGGGGGGTCTCTTCCTGACCTCCAGCTGAGTGCTTTCTGCTGGCAGAATCCCGCACCTGGGCCTGAGGTGGGGGGCTTAATGCCACTTTGTAAAAATCTGCTTGAAGTCGACATTGTAAGATAGGAAAGGGGGTTTCTGGTATGAAGGGTGGGGTGGCCCTCTGGGTCCTGCTGGCTTCCTTGAGACACCCTATGGTGGCGCCTCCTCTCTCCTCCCTCTGTCCATCCTTCCTGCACTGAGGCTGGGTGAGGAAGCCGGATTCCCCCCAAGTGTACTCGCCCCATTCCTCCCTCCTCATGCTGGTGCTGAAATGCCAGCTCACTGGACCTGTGCTTGTGGGGTGGAGCCCTTGTTTTGAGGTTGATGACTCTGGGGTGGGAGGGGACAGGAGGCTGGGAGCTTTGAGTGGACTTCTGCACTTCCAGGAACACCTGGACCTAAACTGTACTGGAAGTTCCAATTTGACCCAAGCACCCCCTGAAACAGTGCAAAACTAACAAGGGAAAAGTGTGGGGAACTTCAGGGTTCAGAACTGTGAGAGAACCCATCTCTGTAAGTCCACAATCTCTGCCTGTGTGCACACCTCCAGGGAGATGGCTTTCAGCACCTCCTCAGTGGGACCCAAAAAAAAGGTGAGATGCTGGTGCACCTTCCACCATGGAAAAAGGACCCCACTCCCAACATGGGGGCTGGGGCCGGCAGCATGGAGACATGTCTGAGGTGAGAGCCCAAGGAGGAAGAGTGGCCAAGTCCTGTCCCCTGCAGCCTCCATGTGGTTCTTCTGTTTCTGTCACCTCAGAGAGATAAGCTGTGGACATTTGGGGAGCAGCAACTCCCCACTCCATGGCACCTCACTTTGTGTTGTCCGCCATTGTCGGGGGAGCAGGGCTGAAGAAAGTGGCATCCTCTTTCTCCGAGTCACTGTGAGCTTCATCTCCAGGGTCATGAAGAGCTCGGCCTTCACCTGAGCCAGCCCTAAAAGGCTAGAAAAAATACAGGCGGCTTCTGGTCTCCAAAACTAAAAGAATTCATTCTGCTGTTTGAAGGGGGAAAATCCACCTTATGGGTGTGTGTGTATATATGTATATAGATAGATTTAGAACTGGGGGAGGAGGTGAAAAAATCCACCTACCACACAGGTCTGAGGAGTGGCCACAGGATATGAGGCACTTTACAAGTCACACTGGCCCCCACAGATGAAACCCCAGAGTACAGAGCCACGGATTAGCAGGAAACGTCATTGAGTCCATTACTGGCCAGGGAGCGCTGAAAAATGTCATTGCTCTTCAGTCGAAACTGCATCCTGCCTCCAGCTGTTCCCTGCATTGGGAACAAGCTGTGTGGCTCCAGCTGTTACACAGTGGTAAATGAAACGAGTGGTCCAAGAAACATCACTGCAGCAGAAGAGAGCAGGCAAACCCCCTTTGCCCTGACCTCAGCTACCCAGTAAGGCTGCATGCAGGGGCACTTAGAGGCCGTGGTCTGGGTCCGTATGACACCCAGCACCTGCCGTGGCTCTGCTGGTGGCTGAGGGCTTTGCGAGGCTCCTCTCTCCGAAGAGCCTGCCGGGGGCCATTGTCAGGGTGGGGGAGGCCAGGCGCCGCAGGAAGCTGGGGGTAGAATGGACCCCCCTTCATTGTGAGCTTATCCCCCAGTGAGGACCACAGTGAGGTTCCGGCTCTCATGGGGTCCTGCCTGTCATTCACTGTAGTTCCTCCAGCGGCATGTACCTGCTTTCTGCCCTAAGGACTGAGGTCCATCCTGCTTTCAAGGTCTCTTCTGAGACTTGCAAGAGAAGCTCTGGAAGCCAGTTTACCACCCTGTAAAGGCAGCAGTGAGCAGGGCCTGGAAAGCCAGAACATGGGGCCCAAGGGATGCAGGGGCCCCAGGTGGGCCAGGAGATGGAGGGTGCCCTGTAGGGGTGGGCACTGAGCTGGGGACAGGGAAGCTTCTTCCCGTGAGCATCCCCATTGCCAGCCTCAAGAGTCCTCCTGGGGAAAACCCAACTTTTGTGGAGTTGAAGCTCCAATTCCTCCTTGCATCCATTGATGAAAAAGCAAAGTGAAAAGGGTCTTGATTTCCACGCTGTGTCAGGCTTCCTTTAATGGAGCTTGGTCTTAAAAGGCAGGAACGTGATGAGGAGGAAACTGATAGCCCCTCAGGGACAGCACGGACCTGGCACGGTGGGAACCAGACACCCCAGCGGCTTCCTGCAGTCCCAAGGGCTTCCAGCTAAGCCCGGGACACATGTGCTGGCCAGCCTGTCCCCTTGGGGGGCCTCAGGGAAGCAGCGGGTTCCCTATTTGGACCTGGGTTCCAAGCTAGGCCAGACCTCGGAATGTGAGAGGTCTTATGCCAGCATGAAGATGCCTTTGCTAGTCCTTTCTCCTCGTCCTGGGTATAGGAGGCAGCTGGGAGGCCCAGTCTGGGAGGGGCAAGAATATGGGGTCAAGGGGAATGGTGCTGATAAAGGCGGTTCCTAAAGCCACAGGCTGCAGGCTCCCTGGGGTTCTGGTTTTAGGTAACAGATTCCTTGTGCTTTAGTCAGGCTGCTTGTAGTGAAGGTCACCATGGTAACCAAACAACATTCCTGGGCTAATGATGGGAGCTTTCCAATAACCGGTCTGTCAGTCACTGCCCCCACCCCAGGCCCGGCGGCCTGCCAGACCAGTTTGGAAAGCCGGGGCCACCAGAGGCACAGCGGCCAACCAGTCTACCCTGCCCCTCTCTCCCTGATCCCCTCTCCCTTCCCCCCCTCCATGGTATAAGGTGCCTCCTCCCAGCCGTTGTTGAGTAGGCCCTCTTGAGAGTTTCTGCCCGGCCCAGCCCAGTCCCTAAGGAGCTTGGAAGGCCCACGGGAAGGTGTGTCGAAGTCCTGGGGGGCACTCCTTAGCTCAGGAGCAGTAGGCTGCAGCTTGCTTCATGTAAACAAAGGGAACCAGCACCGCCATGGCCCCCAGGAAGCCCAGGCTGTTTTGGAAAGTGT